TAATAATAATAATAATAATAATAATAATAATAATAATAATAACAAAAAAGGCTAGCTTTTTTCCAAAAGTAGATGGAAAGCATGGGCCACAATACCTGCCACCCAGTGCCGCTTGCTTTTCTTAATGAAAAGGCTGATGCACTGTTGTTTGTCTTCACTGCTGCAGTGCAGGTGCCATATATTGTTTTCTGGCCATTTTTTTTAATTTTTATTTTGTATTCCTGTGATCCCAGCACTTTAGTTCAAGGCCAGCCTGGACTACAGGAGACTATACCATAGAAAGGAAGGGAAGGACGGAAGACAAGAGAGAAGAAATGTGAGGTTGTTTGTTGACGCTCCTACACAGATGGACACTGGCGTTGTCTGATTCTCTCTGTTGGGCATGTGTGAGGCACATAGAGTGAGGCACACAGTGATACAGCAATACAGCATAGTCATAGACCAGCCTACCTAGGAATAGCTGGATGCATTTAGTAACTCAGACCATTTGAAATGTGTATATGGATTTAAATATTTTGACTATCAGAGTCAGTATAATAAGCCAAAAAAAATTGAAACCACAACTACAATGTGTCTTCTGACAAAACCATTCTCTACTAACATTGGTGAGATGGGGAGGGTGTAAAGTACTGGCTACTGAGCCTTGCAACCTGAGCTGGATCTTCAGGACTCACATGGTAGAGAGAACTGACCTCTGCCTCCACACTCATGGCATACATATAGCCACCACACTCAAAATAAAGGTAATAAAAAGGAAAAAAATTAAGAAATATGTAAATGCTAATGAGTAGTTTATTTGGCCAAAATCGGTTCACAAAAGCCTGCACTCTTGGGTATTCACACCTTGCTCTTGCTAATTAGTAACTTGCCTAAGAGTAAAGGTATCAGCATGTCAGGTGCTTCACAGTCACAGGGTTGAGTCACCAGTCTGATTCGAACCAGCTTTAAACATGCACACACACATGCACAAAGTGGAGGGATATAATTTTTTAAATGAAAATGTGCAAATAGAATTTACTTTTGAAGGCAAGTTAATATACAGTCACACTATCAGTGTGACTCCCATCTATACTGCCCCAAAATGTGCACATGGAAGAGCAGCTAGGCCTGTGAAGTCATTGTGATGGAGTCGTTTCTCCCCAGGGACATAAAACTAAAAATGGGAAATGTGTCATGTATTGTCACCCTCCAGTAAATACCCTGCTCTGAGGACAGGCAACCTTTTCCCAAACCAACTGCCTGGAATGGACATGATCAAGCAGGAGGGAGATGCATCTCGGGTAAGCAACCGGAGGCAAGGGCGCAGCCAAGGTGACTGTGAATATTCTAAGTGCACTCTTAAATCAGTGGATTAAAAATAGCTGTAAAGGGAGCCGGTGAGTTCCAAGACAGCCTGGGCTACATAGTGAGACCCTGTCTCAAAAAGCAATGAAGGGAGGGAGAGAAGGAGAGAAGAAGAAAATGTCAGAAGGAATCTTCTTAGGTTGGGGGGTGCTCAGTTGATAAAGTGATTGTTATGCAAGCATGAGGACCTGAGTTCAAATCCCCACCTCCCAACTAACAATCTTGGCATGGTAGCACACATCAACAACCCCAATACTTCAGGGAAGGAGAGAAGAAATAGGCAGATCCCAGCCAGTCTAGCTGAATCAAGGAACTTCAAGATCAGTAAGACCCTGTCTCAAAGACCAAGGTAGAGAGTGATAGAGAAAGACACACACACACACACACACACACACACACACACACACGCACACACACACACACACACACACACACACAAACACACACACACACACAC